CNTAATAATTGTATGTCCTGCAACCATATTTGCTGCAAGTCTTACTGATAAACTAACCGGTCTCACTAAGTAAGCAAATAACTTAATAATTACTATTAACCATGCAAGCCAAAGAGGAGTACCCTTCGGCAAAAATATAGACAAAAACTCTAATCCTCTCTCTTTGAACCCAACAATTGTTACGTAGATAAAAACAATCATAGATAAGGCAAAGGTAACACTTATATGACTTGTTACCGTAAATGCACAAGGAAGAATACCAACTAAATTACATGACAAGATAAAAATAAAAATCGTGAATATCAAAGGGATGTGATTAAGTCCTTTACTGCCAGTATTACCTTCTATTGTTGAAACAACAAATTCATAGATATATTCAACTGAAGCTTGAAAATATCCTGACTTTTTTCTTATGCCAATCAATAAAAACATTGCTGCCAATATTACTGAAATCATCATAAAAAGCGATGAATTAGTAAAACTTACGTCATGCCCAAAAAAATTAGGTAACTCTGCTAAAGTATGTATCCTAAACTGATCTAGTGGATTTAATGTCATTTTATCTTAAAAATATATCATGATAAATTATAAATAAAAAAACTTATAAGTGAAATTAAAACATTAGATGTTGTTGTTTTATCAGAAAATGCACTGTCTTATCACTCCTAACACTCTAGACTATGCACCTAGAAATTCAGTTATTTGTAAATTAGTATTTACTTGATCTTAATAATTATAATGTAATTAGAACAGCATTATTACTAACTTTGGAGGTAGATATGTATAATAAACAAGAGACAGGGAATAATAACGGAAGTACGTCACAAAAAGGGGAGCCTAAAATGGCGTCACCTGAGATAAATCGACCTTTTTATGTAATTGACGATAAAAGTAATGATCAACCAGCAAGCTCTCCTGAAGCTGCATCAATAATTCCTCACACAACTGATTCCAATGGAAGTAATAAACAAAAATCTAACGGCAGTAGTCTATCAGATTCTCTCCCTAAACCTACTAAAAAAACTATCATTCCATCTAATAATACACGTATACCACCTAAACAAGAGACAGAGACTGATAATGACGCATCACCTAATGTAGGGAGATCAAGTGGTACAAGTAGCAACAACGGCAGCTCTCCTGGTAGGAACTCTTATTCCTTTCCTAAGGCTTTAGATGATTTCAATGGCAGTACTGGAGAAGCTGATCACACCCCGCCTGCTTATAATGACCCCTTCTCAAAAAGATCTATAGGCACTTCAAGCAATGATAGTGATGGCTCCTCTGATCTATTAATAAGATCAGATGAAAAAACAAATAGGTTTTGGCAGAAAGTAAAGTATCTTTTAGCAAAAAAGAAGATTATCATGCCATTTACAGCCTTAGTAACTATGTTAGGTGTTGCATCTACGACAAAACCACTTATTGAAGTGATTAATATGAACAACGGAATAAATGCTTTTAATATAATTGGTGGTGTGGTATTAGCATCTCTTGCACTTTTTGGATGTTGGGCGCTCATTCAAAGCTTTCGCACAAAGGAACATAAAATCACAAAGAGACAACATAGTGAAGTTTTAGCAGAAGTAGTAGAAAAATTGCCAAAGGACAAGCTGATAAAATACATAATGATAGATAGAAGCAATGGTACCCGTTCTTACTTCCAATTACAAACACTTGAGAGTGAAATTGATAAAAGCTTTTCTATACCAGGGAGGAAAATAGTTAAAGGACATTTTATGTCTGATTGGCTATGCGCTATCAGTAACCGCAGAATGGCTGCTCCGGTCTTGTTTACAGCTTTAGTTTTTGGAAATATTACTCTTCTCTTAACAAATGCTATGTCTTCTGAGTTAAGCTATTCTCAAATACTTAGCCCCGCATTATATACAAATCTTCATGCAGCAATGGTGCCTACATTACTAGCCTTAGGGTTAATGATGATTTGTATTATATCCAACATATGTAATACAGAATTTAAAACAGCTTTACACATTGATAATGTAAAAAACCGTGATCATGAGAAGGCAAACACAACAGTGATGCAATGCATTAAAGATCAATTAAGAAAAGAGGATGATTCTAGATCGCCCAAAGAAGGACTTAGCTCAAAAATAACACACGTGGTTGCAGAACTTCAAGGCGCTGCAGAATATATTTGTGCTGTTCATTAGGGTGCATCACTGACACCATTCATCTAAAACGCCAAAGCCTGCTTTGTTGGCTTTCTAGTTTAAGCTTTAATTTGTAGCTACACAGACAAATTAGCGCTATTCTTTCATA